CCCCGCAAGCCACCCTTCCTCGGGCACCGGTCGGTGCGCGGGGAGCCTGGATGCACCGCACACACCAACGCCAGCCGTCGCGGTCCTTGCAAATGCTCGCTCGGTGCTCGGCTCGGTGAACCGCCGCCTCTCGGCAATCCTGACAGTCGGGTGCGCGGGGCAGGGGGGGCGCGGAGATGCCGTCTTCGCCTTCAACGCCACCGCCAGGCTCTCCAGACACCAAGTTTACTACTTGGGACAGAAAAGACCAGGCCAAATCTCTGTACCCCACGAGCGCCCTTTTTATTTCATTTATTCAAACAAATGTTTATTGAGCATCTATCGTGTGCCAGGTACAGAGGATTTGGTGATAGGCCAGACCAGCTGATCTTAGGGTGGGGCAGGGAAACTAGGGCTATCCAGCCAAAAACTCTCAGGTAGTGATAAGTGCTATGAAGGAAACCATGGAAAAGTGATTTGTGAAAGATGCGGGGGTGGGGGGTAACCCTACTTCAGATGGGGTGTTTAGGGAGGGCTTCCCTGAGGACATTAACTTGACTGGCACAAAGGGACAAAGGCCGTGAAAGTCTGAGGAGAGGGAACAGCAGCACGAAGGCACTGCCTTGGCGTGTGGCTTGGCTGTCCCAGCCGTGGACGGAGAGGCCAGCAGTGATGGGGAGCCGGGGAACAGGAGTGAGACCACCAGGGCACAGACCACACCTGGCCGCCTGGGCTGTGGGGAGACGTTTGGATTTTACTCAAGTGTGATGGGAAGCTGCTCAGGTGTTTCAGCAGGGGTGGGCAGGATCCGATGGGGGCTTGGGGAAAACCTGGCCTCTGTGAAGATCTGGCAAGAGAAAGACCCACTTTGAGCCTTTCTCAACTGGACAGACGAGGGGGTCTGGTGGGGCAAGAGCACTGGACTGGGAATTAGACTTGGAGTATAATCCAAATGGCCCGAGTGGGCCCTGCCTCTTCTCTGGACCTCAGCTTCTTCGTGTAAAATGAGGGGTGGTGGTGGTGCAGGGCAGATGGGACTACAAGACATGGGCTAAGGATCCTCCCTTTCAATCCCCTGATGGTCCCAAAGCATTCCTCAAAGGCCCCCTCTTTCAAGAAAGATGACCTGATAAGAGGGGGGGTAAAGGAACACATTTTCTGAGAGCTATTTATGTCAGGCTCCAGATTAGGCATTGATTTGGGCTTTTTTCCCTTCCCCAAATATATTTTGGAACCTGACTAAGGCCAGGAGTTAGATTCGTTTCTAGATTCCCATCATGCGATGCTACACAAGACAGACAAGGTCTTGGAGGCGGGGGCACAGAAAGCAAGCAAATAAAGCTCATGTAGCTAGAGGAACCTTATGAGAAAAGGAATCAAGATGACAGGATTGAGGGAGCTGGTGCGGACGACGGGGGGTGGTCGGGAAGTGGGGGGGCAGGCAGCAGGATGGCCGGCCCCGCAGCCCGGTACAGCACGGCGCGGGGTGTGCCCGGCCGGGAGGGCGGGAGATAAAGTCGAAGAGGTCAGCAGGGCCTGAAGGCTGCAGGGCCTGGCGGGGGGCCGCTGGCGGGTCCAAGCAGGACAGCGACAAGCTCTGGTTTGCCTTTTTAAAAGCTCCTCCGCTGCCTCTAAGTGGAAGAAGGACTGGATTGAACTTGGGGGAGGAGGAGGAGGAGGCTGTGGCAGAGCCAGGTGGCAGGTGGCCGTCCGAAGTGGCCCATCTTTGCTACCTGCTACCCAGAGCAGCCATAACGTCCCCACTCTTCAGGGCCCCCTCTCAGATAATGGCAGTTAGGGAGCAGAGTCTAGGTTGAGGTTGCGCCTCATCTCAGGAGGAAACTTCCAGGGCATTTGTTAACTCGTTCTTGACCAGTTCAGGATCCCCAATTTGGACAAGCAAATAACTATGAAATAAAATTCTGTGAGCCTTGCAAAGATCGCAGTAGGCTTTCCACTAGGGTTTTCAAAGGTGTCACAACCCTGTGGGGTCCCTGCCCGCTCTGCCAGGCTCAGTGCACAGACACTTTTGAGTTGTGACCCATGTAGGGTCGGTGCCGTGACAGGAAGCACAAGCCGCCCAGCTGGACCTGGGTTTGAATCCCATCTCATTCATTCAACAAATATTTATTGAGGGCCTACTATGTGCCAGGCCCTATGTAGCAGTGACTTAGACAGGGTCCCTGCTCTAGTGGGGACGACAGGCACGAGACAGGATAATCCCAGAAAGTGATAAGTGGTATAAAGCAAAGTATGAGAAAGTGTCTGGAGGTGGCAGAAGGGGGCTACGTGCAATGGGGTAAACAGCAAATGCTTTGCCATCTTTTCCTGGCCGGATATCATCAGGGACATTACCTAACCTCTCTGAAGCCTCAGTTTCCTCATCTGGACAGTGGAGGTAGAAACACCCCCCACCCCCACCCCGCAGCCGCCTGGGAACGTTGGATTCCTGGCAAGCGTGGTGCCCAGGCTCCATCTGTTGAGCAGGGGGCCGCAGGCTGCTCTCCCACCCGTTAGGGCTTTCAGTTCTTCTCCAGGAAGAAAGTTGGTCCACAAACTGAGACTGCTTGTAAGAAAGGGAGATAAAGCCAAGATTCGGTCACCTGCACCTCAGCCAACAGGGATGGTGCTGCAGGGGCCGCCACCCCAGGCCGCCCAGGCTGACAGCGCACGAAGACCTAGGAAGGTGGTTTCTCTGTCGGGTTTTGTCCTGGTTGTCTGGAGCCCCTTCTCAGAATGGTTTTTTGATCCCGTCCCATCTACTCGGGCCTCAGAGGCTTCTGGAGAAGAGATGTGAAGCTCGACCACACACGTCTGAGGCTGGGAGACCGTTCTGGCATCGCCCACCTCAGGAAGCCAAGCCCTGCGGGGCAGGCTCCCTTCCGAGCCGGCACTTCCCACAGGGGCAGAGGCGAGGCTGCGGAGTCCCGGGGCCCCAGCCTGGCCGGCACTGCCCCCTCGGGGCCTGTCAGCTGGCCATGGGGCGGCGGAGGGGGCGGGGCGCAGGACTGCCCCCCCCCAGGAAAGGAATCCCCCTGAAGGCTTTGGGCGGGGAGCTACCCTCCTCCCAACCCGGCCTTGCCCCCCCAACTCTAGGGACCCAGCTCCTCTGAGCTTCTCTCCTCGATCCCCACCCAAGGGTGAGCCTGGGCGGCGGGGACAGCTCCTCAGGGGCGGGGCCTGGAGAAGCCATTTTCCGGCTTCCACTGCTCATTGCCTCCTTCGAACCCTCAACCCTCGTCCAAGCTCTGAGCGCCTGCACCAGGCCCTGTGCCGCACACGGGCTGGACAGCTGGGCAGAGACCCCACTTCCAAGCCCCAGGACCCCCAGGGCAGGGGAGTCAGGGCTCTGGTCAGCCACAGAGCCCAGCGCGGCCAGGGAGACACCCGCGGCTGAGGCCTCTGACAGGGATGAAGAATGGGATATGAAGTTAGAAAAGCTGGCAGAAGGCAGGCTGCTAGACTGGGCCACAGCCCACAGGAGGGGGCAGTGGGGAAGGCCCTGAGGAGTGATGGCAGCCCCTGAGATGGGGGCCCAGGGAAGAGCACACAATAACGCAAGCTGGGGGTTACAAAACATGAAAAGGAAGAAAAACAAATCCTGAGGTCCGAGTGCTCCCCCGGGGGTGGCATTGGTTTGCAGAAACAGGCCCCAAGTGGGGACACAGGGCAGGGGAAGGGGAAATGGGGGGTGCAGGGGAGGGGCAGTCTCTGAGGACAACCTGGCCACAGGTCACCAAAAGTTAACAATTCTCTTTGACAGAGAAACCCCAATTATAGGATGAATCCCGTAGATATTTCCAGGCTAGTGAAGAGAGTCATGGAAGCATTGAAACAGCGCTGCACACCCATCAACAGGGCTGGTTAAATAAGGCGCCGGGCACAGGCTGTGGGCCACTCTGCAGCTATTCCGAAGAACAAGCTACACCCAATGTGCCCACTGAGCCGTCCAGGTTAACAAAGCAAGAAGCACCACTGTGCCCGTTTGGCCGCGTGCCCCTGCCGGGAGCGGGGCTGTGTCCAGGCCGTGGGACTGAGGGGCAGGGGCTTTGTTTTCACTTTGCATCCTTCACCGTTGAATTTTAGACCACGAGTAACTTTACTGAGAAAAAACTAATGAGCTTTTAAAGGAACGGGGGAAAAGAAGGCCTGGGGAAAGGCAGCGTAACTTACAGCAGGGCCCGGCCGGGCCCCCACCTCCCTCTTCTCCTGCACCCGCTCACTGCTCGGTCCAGCAGCCTTCACAGCTCTTGGAGAACGGACAGAGGGAGGTGGCTCAATTGTGGAGACAGGTGCAAATCTCCGATCATCCTCAACTCTGTCACCTCTGTGGGCCTTAGCTCTAGGTTGGGGATTCTTACTCAACAACCGTGGTCCCCAGGTGCCTCGAGGCCCCATGCAGACGTGTGCACGCGGGCCTGCCGTCCCTCTTGCTTAATGCAATTCAGAATGAAAACCACACTTAATGCTGTGTGAGGTCCCACAAAGGTCTGGCTTCTTCCCTGATGCGCACTACCTACCTCCACCCTTAAACAATGTGTATCCTATTGGAACCTTCTGTGGGGCTCCTGTTTTGCTGGTGCCCTAAGCATGGGCCAGCTGCGCTTAGGAACCAGCCCCCTGGCCCGTCCCAGTCTCCCGGCAGAGCTGGGGCCCAGTTCCTACTTCGGGACCCTCCCTGGCTGAAGGGGTCAGCAGTCTCCCTCCAAGTGAGGCGTCCGGGGAACTCTTAAGCTCTCTCGGGCCCCACGTTTCGCGCCCTTTCAGCCTCAGCATCAACTTGTCCACTCCTTTGATCTCTGGCCGCTTCTCCCGGGTTCGTCAGACCCACCGGGCCCTCAGAGCCCACTGCCCAGCCACAGGGGGCGAGGGGCCAGGGCCCCTAACAACGTCCCCATTCAGGGATTCACAATACACATTTGCATCTTAAAGGCAACCTTCCCCACAGTCTCGCCTGGTGAATTTCCCTTTGTCTCCCCTTAAATGCTGAAAAGTACTTAATGCCTCTCTATTTACATTTTATTTTATTTATTTATTTTTTAATTTTTAATTTTTTTACATTTTAAATCCCAAACTGGGCCCTGCCACCCTCGCTCCCAGTCCAGGCCTAGGATGAAGCTAACATCTCGGTTTAAAACACATTTTGGGGAGACCCGCTTTGGCCCTCAACTGTAACCTCAGCAGGTAACAGCCAACGGGGCCTTCCCTGGGGAGGGGCCCTCAGGCCACAGGGCCTCTGAATCCGGTCCCTGAGTTGGTGACTCCCACCCAGGCCGTCTGAAACCCTCCCAGGTGGAGGTGTCTCCGCTTGAGCTCCAGGGCGGATACCCCTTTTACAGAGGATAACACTGGGGCTGACAGAAGCACAGGAGCCCTCCCAGAGCCCAGGGTTCCGCATCCTAGACCCAGACTTGCCACACTCTGCCTGACACCAGGGTCTCTGTTTTGTGTCTCACCCTCCAGGAAGGCTGTATTCTTGCGGGTCCTCCCTTCTCTCGAGGGCATCTCTGTTCAGAAGTCCAGACTCAGGCTGCCAAAGCTGTGGGGCACTGCACACATCCCACCCCTTTTCACAAACTGGGGAGCTGAGGGTAGAGAAGTGTGGGGGGAGCTGTGGGTCACACATGAAGTTTGTGGGAGTGCCAGGGTCCAAGCCCAGCCAGGAACTCCTGACTCCCAGCCCCCGTTCCTGGTGCGGCAGCTGCAGGCAAAGCTGTACTGTCTTTAGGCGGCAGTGAGCAGGGGCGGCAACCAGGCAGGGGGTGTGCCCAGGGCTGGGCTCCAGTGGGGAGCAAGGCAGACCCAACTCAGTTCTTACAGAGCGCCCAGTACACACGTAAATAGATGACACAGGGTCAGATAATGATAAGTGATATGAAGAAAATCAAGCAGGGTGATGTGATACAGGAATTCTCGAGCGGTATTCAGCCAGGCTGCCTAGGCGGCTACCCTGAAGAGGCTTTCAAGGATTGAGATGGGAGTAACTGCTGTCAGCCACACAGCAAGTGCAAAGGCCCTGAGGTGGGACCCCGCCCCCGGTCTGTGTGAGGAACAAAAAAGCCAGTGCAGCTGACTGCAGACTCATCCTAAGTCTGATGAGAAGCCGCCCGAGGCCTTTCGGCAGAGGTGGGGGGATGCAGGAGATCAGACTTCTGTGTTAGCCGCTCCATCTGCTGCTGCGTGGAGAGGCCTGAAGAGCCCAGAGGGGAAGGGTGGAGACCTCGGGGGCTTGGAGAGGAACCTGCGTGGGAACAGATGTGACAGGAATCTATAGGTTGAATGAGAGGGTAGAGGAGAAAAGAAATCGGCGCCAAGTCTGTGCTTTGGGGCTAGAACTGTCTGTGAAACCTTGGGGAGGAGCAGGTTTGCAAGAGAAAACAGAGTTCTGTTTTAGCCACCACCCGGAAAGAGATGTGCTTGGACATCCCAGTGGAGTTAGCGGCAGGCGGCCAGTCTGTGGTCAGGAGAGAGACAGGAATGAGGGCTGACAGAAACGGGGTGTCATCGGTGTATGGATGGTGTTTGGAGCCCTAGGACTGGAGGAGAGAGGACGCACCCACGCACCCTGATTCTGCCCCTAGTTTAACTCCAAGATTGGTCTGGCCCTGGGGCTTGATGCAGGAGGGGGTCATCTCTGCTAGGCCCTGGCCACTTCCAGACGTTTCTTTCTCCAGATTCCATCATTTTTCATTGGTTACTTGAGGCCTTCCCCACCTGCGTTTCCTTAGAGGGGTGATGGTGGGGGGGCTGCCTGGGAGCGTGGGGTTTGGCTGGCAGGATCCCAGGCCTAGAATCCTGGCTAACTGGACAAAGCCACTATCCTCCGTCCCCCAAGCCTGTCAAGACTGTGTCCCCATCTGTATGACGAGGCCAGTGGGATGAAGCCACTTGGTCTCTGCCAGTTCCTAAGGCCCTAGAATTAGTCTCCCGGACCCTGCTCCACAGGTCCACAGGCAGCACCCCCCTCCCCACAGCAAAAGGACCTGCTCCACCAGGAGCAGGCCAAGGAGCCCACCAGGGCTGGGGTGGACTCTGAGCCCTGTCTTCTATGTCCTCCCAATGGCCTGGGTCACACTGCCCTGTCTGCACATACCCATGATCTCCACTGATTCCTTCTCCCCTCCAATCACAGTAAGGTCTTTCCCCCGGGCCTGAAGAGCCTTCCATCTGCCCCACACTGGCCACACCCCCAAACTGACCAGGTGCTGGGAGTCTGGCCCATCTAGAGGGGTAACGGTTACTCAGGCCCTGTTCCTTCTGCCCCCACCCAGGGTGAATCTTCAGATTTTTTTTAAAGGAAAGCTGAAATCTGGAGACATTTTTATCTGAAATCACCTGATTTTTCAATCCTGGACCTAATTTAGTCGTTTCATTTTTGTTTTTAAAACACTGGGCAAGGGCGCCTGGGTGGTTCAGTTGGTTAAGTGACTGCCTTCGGCTCAGGTCATGATCCTGGAGTCCCGGGATCGAGTCCCGCATCGGGCTCCCTGCTCAGCAGGGAGTCTGCTTCTCCCTCTGACCCTCTTCCCTCTCGTGCTCTGTCTCTCATTCTCTCTCTCTCAAATAAATAAATAAAATCTTTAAAAATAAATAAATAAGAAAATAAAACACTGGGCAAAACAGGCAGATTCCAGCCAGAGGGTCTCAGAGGCTGGAAGCTTCGCAGTCTCTCCAGCTCTGCTGAACCTGTCCACTCTGCTGATTGATCAATCCACTTTCTGAATGCGCTGCATTGTGACAGACGGGCCCTTCTTTCTTGAAACTCTCTCCTCCCTAGCTTCCGTGACAGCAGCCACACCTGCTTCCCTCCTTCCTCTCTGACTGTTCTTCCTCTGTCTCCCATGGAGCACCCCTCCCTTTCCTACCATTTCCACATCCTCCTCTTCCCTCCACAGTGACCCTGGGAAAACACCCCTGACCCAGGCTGTTGCTGCAACCAGCTCCAGATTCACATTTCCAGCGACCTTCTCTCCAGGATGGCTGGGCAAATATCAGTCTGAGGGTGCCCTTGCTGCCCATGCTGGGGAGCCACCAGGGCCATCACCCTCTACTCTTCCTCTGACCTTTCAGAGACCAAGCTCAAGCCCCTCCAGGCCAGTCACCTGGCTGCCTCCTGCTCCAGCTGGTCTCCTGGGGCCAGCTCTCTTCCTGGTGTCCCTGTTCCAGCCCCAGCTCTGAGCACCCTGGTCCACAGTGCTAGGGGCTGCCGTACCCACCTCCGTGCCCTCTGCTCCGTCTAGGACGGCTTCTGCTCCTGGACAGACACTCCTCAGCGGCTGCAGCAGCTCCACCTTACTGCCCCTCTCTCACTGCACTACATCCTCCACGTGGCCCAGCCTGCACACACTTCGCATTTCCGGAACCTCTGGTTTTTGCTCAAGCCACGCCGTCTCTGCAAGACCTTTCTGCTCCCCAGCCGCCCCCAGAGCTCAGCCAACAGGCGTTTTCAGAAACCCACCCCAGTCTCTGCTAGGAGATTTCTGATGGTCTTTCCTCACTTTGGCTAAGGTCTTAGGCAGACAAGGTTTTCCTGGCTTGACAGACAGTTCACTGGGTGGTGGTGGGGGGGGGGCGTCCTTCTTCCTGGGCGAGGGGCTGGGCCTTTTATGCAGGGACCTGGGTTTATCTTCCTTCTCCTATGGGCTGTACTCACTGCCCTGGGGGACAAAGCCCTTCTCTGGCTCAATGCCACTGACCGCCCTCCCCCTCCAAAAAAACCCACCCGGGTCTCACCTTTCCCAGCTTCAATTTCCTCCTCTCCTGGGCCTTATTCACTAGTTTGTCTGAAGGGAAAATGGGGTCTGTGCTTGCTCTGGGAAAAGGGTGCGTGCAGACAGGGGCCTCTTGGGGTAGAACACCACCCCCCCCCCCCGTGCTTCCCCTTCCCCTTCCCCTTCCCCTTCCCGGACTTCATGGCCTCCAGCTCTCCACTCTGGAACCCCAATTTCCACCGTCCCGGCCTATCCACCCCTCCATGCTCGGGCCTAAAATCACTTACTCCAAAGGGATCAGCTCTCCTCCCGGGGTGTCTCCCCATGGTGTCAGCTTCCCCAAGTAGAGGCTTCTCTGGCTTCGAGAAAGACTGTTCGGCACCTCCTCGGCACCAGTTCTGCTGCACCCCGCCCAGCTCAGAGCCGCCAGACTTGCACAAGCCCCCGCGGAGGATTTCGCCTGGTACCAGGAGAGAGAACGCTAGGAGAGCAGTCTCCGGGACCCGCTCTCCATCGCCCTTCCCGCACGACAGGGGTAGGGGTGTGGCCGCAGCACCTCCCCTCCCCCACCCTGTCCAAGAACTCCTTCGGGGGTCGCAGCCTGACATTCGCTCCACCAGCTCCACCATGGAACCGCCATTTGGCTTTGGGGCGAACGGTGGCGGCTACTTGCGCAGCACAAAATGGGGCACTTGGAGCATCAGCTCCAGTGGGCGGGGGTGGGGGGGAAGGTTTGGAAATGTCCGCAGAGAGACACCTGCGGTCGTCCCCGACTTCCTCCCGGGCGGTGCTCAGGCCCCTGAGGCATAACAAGACCCCGAGCGCGCAGCTGGAGGGCGCCTCCAGCCGTCGTCCCCTCGGACGCGGGTGGAGACCCCCCTCGGAGATGTCCTAGCACACTTCACATTGCCCCAGCCGACCACGTGAGGGCGTGCCCTGTGTTAGTTCGGACAAATTAAAGCTGGTCCTGCGGGCAGGCCAGGGGCCCCCTGACCGCCCTCAGGGTTTGGGTGGCCGTGGCGCACTCTTGGCTGCCGGCCCCAAAGCTCCGGGCCGCGCGGCCTCCCCCGGGACCCGGGCTATTCGCCCCCAAACCGGGTGCCCCCCTCCTCTCGCGCTCCCGCAGCATAGGGTGCACCCCTCCGTTCCCCTTTGCCGAGCCCTTCCCGGGCGCAGGCCGCCTCTCCGCTGCGCCGCAGGCTCGGGCCCTGTCCGGGGCGCTCGGCTGTGGGCTCGTTGGCGCCCGGGAGGCGCGATCCGGGAAGCCAGCGGCCGAGGAAGGGGCTGCAAGAAGCACAAGTTCGCGCTGGCTCCAGACCAGGCTGTTGTTGTTCTCAACGTGGTCCGCCATGGAGCTATAAAAGCGGAGCAGAGCGCCCTCTTCATCAGAGCGCAGCGCGCACGCCCAGCGAGCTCCGGAGACAGCAGTGGCAGCGGCAGCTGCGGCCGCTCCCTTGGCCGATTTTCCCCGCTCAGGCCGGGTCCCGGCTCCAGCCCCGTCTGCCCCGAAACCCCCCTCCGCTCCGGCTCCGGCTCCGGCTCCAGCTCCGGCTTCGGCTCCAACGCCGGCTCCGGCCCCGGCCCGGGATCCTCAGCTCCCGCCGGCCCGGCCCCCGCCCCAGCCCTGCCGCCCGGCCCCAGGCCCGGCCGCGGCCGCTCCCGCCTGGAGCCGCCGCGCGCCCCCAGTCCCCCGGCGCCCCCTCGGCCCCTCGCCTTCCTCTTCCCGGCGCGGCCCCCGGGCTTTCGCGCCCCGCCCGCCACCAACCCGCTCGCCACCATGTCTGTGGAGCTCGAGGAGGCCCTGCCGCTGACGACCGCCGAGGGGGTGGCCAAGAAGGCGGCCAAGGCTGGCGGCTCGGCGACGCTCTCCCCGTCCAGGAAGAAAAAGAACAACAAGAAGAAGAACCAGCCGGGCAAGTACAGCCAGCTGGTGGTGGAGACCATCCGCAGGCTGGGCGAGCGCAACGGCTCGTCGCTGGCCAAGATCTACGCGGAGGCCAAGAAGGTGGCTTGGTTCGACCAGCAGAACGGGCGCACCTACCTCAAGTACTCCATCAAGGCCCTGGTGCAGAACGACACGCTCTTGCAGGTGAAGGGCACCGGCGCCAACGGTTCGTTCAAGCTCAACCGCAAGAAGCTGGAGGGCGGCGGCGAGCGGCGCGGAGCCACGGCGGCCGCCACCGCCCCGGCGCCCGCCGCGCACAAGGCCAAGAAGGCGGCCCCGGGCGCGGCCGGCCCCCGGCGCGCGGACAAGAAGCCGGCCAAGGGCCAGAAGCCCGAGAAGCGCTCGCACAAGAAGGGCGCCGCCTCCAAGAAGGACAAAGGCAGCAAGGCTAAGAAGGCGGCGGCCGCCGGGGGCAAGAAGGTGAAGAAGGCGGCCAAGCCCAGCGTCCCCAAGGTGCCCAAGGGCCGCAAGTGAGCGCGCCGGCCTGCCGGGTCTTCCCGGCGTTCGGTTTTTCTACCCCAAGTATTTTGTACGGTTGTCTGGCCGGGCCGCCGCCGCCCCTGCTCTGAGCCGCACGGAGGGCCCGGGGCCCGCTCCATTCCCCTCCTCGTCCCCCCTCCCCTGCCGCCGTAGCGTTTTTTTGTTGTTGTTTTTGCTTTAGATTTTTGAAACGGCCTGGCGACGCCCCTATTGGCTCTCGCCCTTGGCAACGGCCGTCGCCATGGTTACCGGCCCCTAGGCGCCAATGGCCGCGGCCGCGCCTGCCTGCCCCGGCGGGGGCCGCGGGGTGGCGGGGCCCTGGTGCGCTAGGACCGGCCCCCGCGCCGCCCTTCCCCACTCCCCACCCTCCGCCTTTGGGTGCGCGACAAACAATCGCTCGGGGCGCGGGCCGCGCGGCCTTCCCTTCATCCCGCCGGCCTTTTTGGGGCACAATAAATTGTTTAAACCTTTGAACCGCTCTCGTTTTCTTCCGAGTGGAGTAGGGATGGGCGCGGTCCGCGCGCGGCTTGGGTTGGATGGGGTCCCAAGGGTCCTGGGCACCCCAGATGTTACCGAGGGTAGGCGTGGAACCTGGAGTTCTCCGCACGGGGTGGTAATTGCAGGGAGGGGGCGGCCGGCTGATCCTGGAGGGGAGCCTCAAGGAACAGATCTCCTGTGAGCGAAGGTGGAAAGATGCTGAGGAACGTTGGTCGGGCCCCCGCGAAAGGGGGAAGGGGGGAAGGGGAGGCAGCCCTGGCTTTTCGGGATTTGCTGGTCAGGTCCCCTCAGCACGTATAAGGCTGGGCCTTTGCAGAGATTAGTTATTCTGAATTCACTGAGACTTTGTGTTGATGTGATGAGGATATTGGAAATGTGGAGGCCTTGGGCTCTGGCTCGCTGAGCACAGCCCGAGGTGTGGCCTGAGCAAGGCATTGATTCTCCGCCTGCTGGCCAATCTGGAGTGCACACGGACCAGAGGGTTATTGGACAAGTTGGGAAGAATGATCCTCAGCCCTGAGACACTCTGGTGTCCAGTATATGCGATAGTTGTATTTTAAGATGAACTGAGCCCTTGGCGAATGTTCCTATGAAGACAACCCTGCAAAAGGAAGGCTCTGGGGCAGTGGGAAGCTAGGGAATGTTCTAGAACAGTGAGTATGTACATGTACCAAGCTGGTAAGCCTGGGCTGGGGTAGGTGACAGATGGAGATGGTCTCTGTGTTAGAGACTATGGGGGGGGGTAAGGGCAATAGGGGAGGGGAGGGAGCATCACTGGAGAAGCCCCTCTGGCCTGCTGGTATACCTGACCCAGGTCTGGCAGCCACTACCATCCCCTGGCACACACTGGGGTCACAGGGCAAATCCTTCAGCCACCTACCACCCTGCAGACCCTTCCACACAGAGCAAGTGGCCACTCCACGTGCTCTTTCAGTTTTTTTAAAGTCTTGCTGGGTCTCCCTGCTGCCTGCTGCCTCCTGCCTCTGGGCACTGCAGGGCCCAGTGCCAGCATGAGTCTCCCCGGCCTTGTCCTGGGCTGGGCTGTGAGGGAGGACACGGTGGACAAAACCAGCACAGGCGCCTGCCCTGCACAAGTCAAGTGGAGAAGACAAGTCACAGCCAGGTCCCTCTGCCCATCCTTGCTCTCTAGGCACAAGGTTTGAGAACAAGATGACACCTCCCCCCCCAGTATGGAGACCTGCTGACATGGCAGTAGGGGGCCCTGTCATTAGGGCAAAGGAGGAAATGGGATGTTAGCCTTGGCTGCAGCTGTTCTGGTTCTGGGCAACTGTGGGCATCCAGGAGGCAGGTAGGAGGCCTGTGTTGGAGACAGCAGGACCATGGTGGGCTGGGGCTGACTGCTCCACCCACCCTGCCAGTCCATGTCCTAGCCACTTGTTGATCAGTAATAGTTTCATCCATGTGCAGCTTTGGAGCGGGGGTGCCCAGTGCCCTGCCGCAGGGCCATGGTGCCGGCCCAGACCCTGTCCCACACTGCCTGCAGGGCTAGCTAATAGGCCATCAGCAGCTAGAAGCCAGGAGAAGCCTCGGCCTGCCCAGGATTCTGGGGGATGGTGCTCCTGACCAGCTAAATGTGATCCCTCAGATTCCACCTCCCCTCCACTGTTCCCTAAATTGGAAACCCAAGTCGAGATGCCACCTAGGCTCACTGCTCACCCTGGTTGTCCAAGTCACAATCTGAGGCCAGGGCCTGAGACTTGGCTTTTTGCTCAGCTCCCAGGTAACTCAGGTTCTGAGAGGGGTTGAGAAGGGGCTGCTAAAGGGGCCCAGGCACATGGACAGTGCACCTGCTGTGCAACAAGTCACATGGAGCGGCATCCCTTCCCCTGAGCCCCTCCTAACCAGAGGCCCGCCACCCCCGACAATCTGTCCTTTGCAGACATCTCCTGAGCTCCACGGCCCCAAAGTGCCCTTCAGGTCCTTCGTATTCCACACTGCCTTTCCCTATTTCCCGCCCAAATCCACCCTTTGTTGCTCCTACCATCTGGCTCTCCCAGTGGCCTCCTGCTTTGATGCTGCCGCCCCACCTCTCTCCGTCTCCCGGCTCCGTTCCTTGCACACTTGGGCCCCTAGCTGGCTGTCTTCTCCATCTTGAGACCCACCTTCTCCAGGAGCACTGGAGCACCTGTGGACCAGCCCTCCGTGAGGAAGGCCTCTCACTCTTCTGATAAGAAAGAACACTGTCATATTTTTCTGGGGACCCAAGCCACCCTACTCTCAGGCCACCTGGCTCTGGGGATCTGACTCTCCAGTCCTAGGAATGTTTATGTGACTGAAGACCTGGCCAATGAGTGTTGAGTTGTTCACTTTGCCACAACCATTGGGTCAGAAATAGGTGCTTGACCCTAGTGAGTTCAATGAGAGTCAATCCTGGGACTCTTCCTGGAGCTACTGAGAAAGAGGTACTCTCTCCCTCAGGGAGGGAGAAGGGAGCCAGAGTTGCCAGTAGCCATCTTTGTCAATACACAGGGAGAGCCCATCTGAAAAAGGAGCCAAGACAGAAAGTTGGAACCATGAAATGGAGAGACGGATACCTGAGGACATTAACAGAGCCTCTGGATCCAGTTATGCCTGAAGATAGTTTAGACCTGACTGCCACATGAGCTGATACATTGCTCTTTACGCCGGCTTGAATTGGTTTTTGTCACTTGCAATCTGGTCTCTCACTCCTCTGACTCACTTTACCCTCCCATGTTCACATCCTGGACCTTGTCATTCCTTTATTTATTTTTTTTTTAAAGATTTTATTTATTTATTTATTTGACAGAGAGAGACACAGCGAGAGAGGGAACACAAGCAGGGGGAGTGGGAGAGGGAGAAGCAGGCTTCCCGCGGAGCAGGGAGCCCGATGCGGGGCTCGATCCCAGGACCCTGGGACCATGACCTGAGCCGAAGGCAGACGCTTAACGACTGAGCCACCCAGGTGCCCCCTTGTCATTCCTTTAAATTGTTCTTCTTCTGAAAGGACTTTCCCAGTGTCCCACTGTTTACCCACAGGCCCCTCCTCTCTCTTCTCAGGGTGCTCACTAGACCCTTCAGCGGAGCTGCACCTGTGCATGGGTCCCACGTCACTGACCTGCACCCCAAGTTGAATGGATGGCCGTGACCTGCCCCATGTGACCGCTCAGCAAGTGCCAGGCACTCCGAGGAAGGCTGCACGGGTCACATCTCAGCCCTGTGACAGCCCCAGCGAGGAAGGTGTTCAAAAGCTGGTCTTGCTGGTTTGGTGCTGGGACTGGGAAGGCTATATTTTCTGTCTGACCCCACACTCTGCTCCTGCATGGGGCTGGGGAGCCCAGGACCCGCTGTTGACCTCCTGTGTCTCTTAGACCTCACTGAGGAGCCTCAATTCCAGGTGAACGCCGGAGGCACAGGACACCGTGAGGCTCTGGAGGAGGGCTTCCTGGGGCAGGGGACCCCGGTGCTGGGAGGAAGCAAAGAACCACGTGTATTTGCTTGTCTGTAAAATGAGGCTTAGCATTGGCCCCAGCCTGGGCTCCTCTCTGCACCCCCTGATCAGGAGGGGAGGAGGGGTTGGGTGGGACCGGGTCTCTAGAGGCTGAGGTCAGCGTACTGGGTCTTGTCCACCATGTCTTTTGGTCTGGGCAAGATTATTTTCCCCATGCCTCCGCTTCCTTATCTATAAATGGAGCCAAGAAAGATTTCTTTTACTCACCCATCAGCTAACCAGGGGGTAGGAACACACTGCCTCCAGTCCGGTTCTCCAGGTTTCCCCGCCCCCTGCCCCCAAGAGTGTACCGCACTCTCCTCCTCTGCCCCTGCCTCCTTCCTCTCATGGGGCTGGGATCTACCTCCCTGCAAACCTCCTTGGGTTCTCAGGTCTACTTCCTGGGTCCCTAGATCCAACTTCTCCCTGACCCTGGGACAGCTCTGAAGACACTGGAAAAGCCCCTTTCCAGGCTGTGCAGGCCTTAGTGACCCATATGATGGAGTCTCCACTGAGTGGACTCCTGTGCCGAGCACAGAACCTGATGGGGGTGGGGGGCTCGAGCACTCAGCACAAGGGCTGCTGCCATCCCTCTGTCCCAGGAATGGATCCTTGGTTGATATAGCCAGAGGGCCCTTTAGCCATTCTGGCAGCTCCGTTAGTCAAAAGAGGCAGCAAAGAGGCCCTGGGTCTTTCCACAGCAAGTGCTACTGGGGCCACCTGCACTTGCAAACGGGGGCATTGATCCTTGCAGAGATACTGGGAGAATGGAATGAGATCCCGCATGGCCTAGTGCACGGTCACTCATTCAGCACACACTGGCTGAACAGAGGCAGGGATGGGGACCAATCAGACCTGCTTCCCGTTCTTGAGGAGGATGTGCAGGAGGCCAGAGAAGCCCGCGGCTCTTGGGCAGGGACGGTTCGGGCTGGAGCACTAGCACCGGCCCCCAGTGTGGCAAAAACTCCTGAGTCTGGGGAAAGGTGAAAGCAGCAAGTAGACTGAGCTGACACGACGCAGGAAGCAGAACCAGAGGGGTATCAGGTACAGACGCACCTATGCACCGTATGGATTGCAGGGCTGAGGAGCCAGTTTCCATTAGGCTGGATTTCTGTGACCGAGGCTGGAGCCTGTGCTGCCCATACAGGAGGGGAAGATCACGAGCAGGCCGAAACCACGCAAGCTGGAGCCCTAGGACAGACTGAAACTTGTGTTGGTTGTTTTTGCCTCTGACCTTGGTGATGACGGTATCCTGCAGAAGCTGAGACCCTTCGTCATAGAGTTAACCATGCACACACCTGAGTCAGCAAAACTGAAGGAGAATCCAGGGAAAGTCGAGTCATTGGTGCGGCTTCACACCAAGGAGGTAAATCACCTGATCAGCAACCAAAATGGTGGCTTCCTTCCAAATCTGGCAAGAACCTTTGTGGCCCACCCTACGGGAAACCTATGAATAAGGGAGTTGTGGGAAATGTAGTTCAGCCTGGCCAAGTCAACACACTACAAA